AAATACAGGCCCCCAATGTACTGAGTGGTCGGAGAAGTCATGACGTATTTATCTATCTTTTTCTATGCAAAAATGCATCATGATTTTCCACCGTCCAGTGTAAGGCCAACTGTGCATAGTGGAGCTCTCGGGCTGTTCAGATGCACTGGGCGGTTAGAGCGGCCTTTGTGAGTTAGTAGAACACGCAGTAGTACACACTAGAAAAGCCAGCTTTAAAATCCGGTGTGTCCTGGTATCGGTGGCCAGATTTGGACTGTCTTTAATCTCATTTGCCTTGTCCCTCTTCCTTTAAGGCCATCCATACAGATGCACTGAGCGTCCTTTTCAGCCTCAGCTGGGATTTGCATCAGTAGCCATAAACCTGCTCCAGGGACAAAGACACCCTTCCCTTTGAAGTCACTGCTGAAGCTTTTTCAAAGCCATCCTAGAAGTCTGTCCTCTTTTCTCTTTTCATTTTTCTTGAAGAAGAATTCAAAGGGTAGCCCCTTAAACTAGCAGCAGCAAGATCCTTTTTTTTTTTCCTCTCAGCATTATTGAAAGCCAGGACACTTTTTCACGCAGCAAGACTTGGAAAGGTTCCGAAGGGAATCTACTCTGTTTCTCTTCTGAATCTAGCATTTGGTAGGTCTTACCCGCGAAGAAAGCCAAGGTAAAGACCTTTTGTGTCTAGGAGCTGTTACAAATTTTTATCCAAAGGTTTAGCCTGGTATTTTTCAGAGGAACTTTTCCCCCCGGCCCTGTGTTTGGTTTAGAGATTTGACAGGGAGTTTGGTGATTAACTTTGCAGCCTTTGGAAAGGAATATTGATTCATGGCCAGAATCCTGTCCCCCAGTCCCCAAGGTATTAACTGATGCCCCTAGGCATTAACCAGAGGGGCTGACAGGCCACTGGCGGGCACGTTTTGGGGAGCACTCCCATGACCGGTTCTGCGAATCTGAGATTGTTCCAGGCCTTCTGCACAGAAAGGTACCGAGAGGCCGGTGTCGTCGCCCAGCTCTGCTGTGTGTGGTGTGAATGCAAAGGAAGGGGAAGACGAGGAGGGACTTCCAGTTCCAGTCCAAGCGGTTCCCAAAAAGCCCACTAACCATAAACCGTTTGGACCCGTCAGATTTTTATCTCATACATTTGTTACGGGGAATTGTAATATTTAAAGCTCTTGGTTTATTGGAATTTATATAAATCCAACAGACTATTTATTTGGAACATACTTCTTGATAAGGAGAAAATGTGAAGAATGCCCGATCTGCCAAGTAGATAAAAAAAAAGGGATTTAAACAGCCCCGACCAGCCCTTCTGAGAGGAGAGGCCCCCTGCGCTGTCCCCTGAGGGTTTTTGAGGTCACTGGTGTGCACGTCCCATCAGGAGGGGAGTGAATAGCAATCTTTTCACTGTAAATTCAGTGAGTGTTCATGAGACCAGCTACCTGAGCAGAAACTAATGGCTATAAGTCTACCCTTATGCTTTTAATTTGTTGTTTCTCTCCCCCCCCCCTTTTTTTTTTATATTTCCTGAACTGTCTAACCTGCTTCCTGGATTAGAAAACATTTTGCCCAACTTTGAAGCGAAAGTCCTTGCATGGAACAGCCCTTATTGAGTGTTCAGGGCCTAGAGGAAAAAAAATAGAATCTTTTTTTCAGTTTCGAAGTCACTCTGTCTGTTGTAGGTGTCTTCTGATTTGTGGAGTGACAAACGACTGGTCTAGATTGGACTATTGGAAACTAGTATTTTGTAAGTAAAACAGACTTATGAAAATCTTAGTTATAGGGACCAGCAGTTAGCATAATGGTTATGTCACTGGACTCTCACATAGTCGACCACAGTTCAAGTCCTGGACCTGGTGGCTTAAACTCACGCCGGGCGCATGTGTGTGCATGCCCAAGATCCCAAGGGGAGAATGGAGGAGAAGGGATTGTGGCGTGGCCATCCCCCCTGGGGGGTGATTTCTCATGTTCTGTCTCTCTTTCTGGTGAGCTCACATGCTCTATAGCAAAAACCTCTCCAAAACCCCAAAAATCTAAATGATGTATAGTGATTGAATGTATAAATAATAATAATAAAGAAAAAAGTCTGAAAATATTAAAAATTGAATAAAAGATATGAATCTAAAAAAAAAATGGTACCGAATGAAAACAAAAGAACCACCTCACCAAAAATGTATTCCTTAGCTCTTAATGATTTTTGATGGCTTTTTTCACAAGCTGCCAATAGACAGCATTAGACAGTAATTTAAAAACTAACATCGTGTGGAATAGTTGTGGGATGCAGAGCTCCTTTGGAAAGGGGGAACTGCGACCCAGTCCAAGCGCTGGGGACCTTTAGAACCGAGCTCAGTGATTGCTAAATGTGGCAAGGGCAGTCTTTTGTTTTTTGTTTTTTTTTTTTTTAAGAGGTTTTTGCTATAGGGTGCGTGCGCTCGCCAGAGACAGAGACAGAGATAGAAATCGAGAAATCACCCCCCAGGGGAGATGGCCACGCCACAATCCCTTCTCCTCCGTTCTCCTCTTGGAACTCCTCCATTCTCCTCTCGGGATCTTGGGCACACACGCACATGCGTCTGGTGTGAGTTTTAAGCCACCAGGTCCGGGACGCAACCCGCGGTCGACTACGTGGGAGTCCAGCGACACAGCCATGACACTAACTGCTGTTCCCTCAAGGATAGTCTTTGACAGAAAGTTTACTAGATCAGATTGGCTTGTATTATTTGCTTCTTTACCTGAAGTATTTCTCAAATTTGTGAATTAAAAAAAAAAAAAAATTGTTTTTGTGACAAATTCTTCCTGGTTTGTGAAATGTCAACTAAACAGTATAATGAAGGTGGATTTACCTTTCCAAAGAAGGTTTTTTTGTTTATTTTTTAAGAAAAATTTTTACTCGAGGGTGCGTGCACTCACCAGAGAGAGAGACAGAGAGACCAAAAGTGAGAAATCACCCCCAAGACAGATGGCCATGCCGCAATCCCTTCTCCTCCATTCTCCTCTCAGGATCTTGGGCACGCACGCACAGGCGCCCGGCGTGAGTTTAAGCCACCATGTCTGGAACTTGAACCACGGTCAGCCATGTGGGAGTCCAGCCGCCTCAACCACCACGCCACCTGCCCCCTCTCCCCCCATGAGTTTTAAGCTGCCAGGTCCGGGACTTGAACCACGGTCGACTACATGGGAACCCAGCGACGTAACATTACGCCATCTGCTGGTCCCTAAATACATTCATCTTAACTATTGAAGGAAACAGTGGCCCAGTGTAACTGCTGGCTCCAAGGGAGGCGGGGCTGGGAGCGTGGACACTAGACTCCTGCTTCGTGGTAGCAGCTGCTGTCCCATTCCCGGTCAGAGATCTCCGTGCACCCAGCAATCTTGTATCCTCCCCTTTCACCCAGAAACGCAGCCACTCCCGTGTATTTTGTATGTGGCTTGGGGGAACCTACTGACCCACCATGAGAACACCAGCTTTGGAGGCTAGGTTGGTTTTGGGGCAGCAGCATTTGCCTTTCCAAATTCAGGACATTCCTGACCTCTCAAACCTGTCCCCAAAGCAGATGACTGCTCTAAAGACAGCCACTTAGGATGACAAAGTATTCTTTTTCGCAGTCCCATAGCCGGTAGTAATGACCTACTTTGTGAGCACAGAACGGGTTGGGCATCCCGAATCTGAAAATCTCAAATCCGAAACATCTCGAATGCCGACATAACAGAGGCCACAAATGGGAAATTTTACACCCGACCGCATGTGACAGGTTGCAGTCAAAATGTTGCAATACGGAAGTACTGCGAAGCTTCCTTTGGGCCATGTTCTTAGGTGTCTATGAAACATAAATGATTGTCCTCTTTAGAACACGGGCCCCTTCTCCACGATACCTCATTGGGTATGTGCAAGAATTCGAAAATTCAAAAAAAGAAAAATACCTGAAAGCCTTCTGGTCTTGAGCATTGTGGAAGAGGGATGCTCCACCTCTGCTGGTTACCAGCGGGACCCTCCAAATGTAGGGACTCTGAGAATGCTAAGAATCCCACTGTCTCTACTTTGAAGCTGTTGTGTGTCTGTCCTTAGAGACCATAAAAGTGGGAGACTAGTTTATCTCAAAATAGTCTTCAGGTTAAATATGGACTCTTGCCCGGTGGTCTGGCACACATGAAGCCCGGTACTGTTTTACTTCTCTGAGCGGGAGGCACTCAGGGTCCTCACCCACCAAGCAGTTCCCTTTTAGGCTGGGACAGAGATGTGGGTTGGCTTGTCCTTTCTACCCGTGACAGTGTCTTGAAACATCTCCCATTACTCCCCTTCTCCTCCTGGGTCCCTCTCTCTTCAACCCAGCTCCTCTCATTTGTAGTCACTATCAGAATCAGACGAATGGCATGGTGTTTTTTGATTGGTTGGTTGGTTTGGTTTGTTTTTTGGTGTTTCTTGTCTGTGGTTTTGTTTTGTTTTGTTTTGTTTTGTTTTGTTTTTCCCCTCAGTTCTTTGAATGAGCTGTACTGAATACACTCTTAGAAATTTCTAGAATGTAGAAGCTTGGTACAGGTAGTTGGTATTTAAGGGAGAAGCTGCTTTGAACTAACTCGAATCCCAGCCAGACTGGCTTCATCTGCTGGTCTTCACTGGCCTGCAGAGAAGGATCCTGATGCTGGAGAGACTTTCCCTTGGAATGTAAATGAAGCCAAAGTCCCCACATTTATAATCACTCACCCATAAATTAGCTAAGCAAGGGGCTTAATTTTCTATGTGGAAAACATCTGACAACCTTGTTGGAATGCCGCGCTTATCATATTTAACCCCGAGTTTTGAACCACTGTTGCCTGACAGTCACGTAAGGATTGAAATTCACTTGAAATCTAGTCGCATAGGGTCCTCGCCATCAAAATGTCGTCTCGAGTTCAGATCTAGCCCTACAAGGGGGTTTGGGACTCCTTGCTAAACCACCCATCACAGCGTATATAGGCCTGGCGACTTCATCACAGTGATGTTGAACTGATCCGTTCCTTTCCTCTGTTTCTCCCTCAAGGTGAGACCACCACCCCTCGGGCCATTCTGACAGGCCACGACTACGAGATCACGTGCGCGGCCGTCTGCGCAGAGCTGGGCCTGGTGTTAAGTGGCTCCCAAGGTAATCCCGGCTGTCTTCGTCTGTCGGCCCTTTTTGGTGTCTCCCAGTGACAGATCACCGAAGAGGGACTGGGTGCCCTTTCTCCAAAGCTTGTCTCTGCTATCGTAGCCATGAGCCATATGGGACTCTTAGCCAGCATTGAGCAGAATTGAAAACGAAGTTCCTCGGTGGCACAGGCCGCGTTGGGGGCTCAGTGTCTGCCCACGGCTGGTGGCTACGGGATCGGAGCGCACAGGCACCGAGCATGGCCGCCATTGTGGAAGGCTGTTTCACGGCGTTGCTCTCAAGAGTCTCGGGTGTTTCTATAAACGTATCCCGTAAATTTTCTCATTTCATGAGGCCAGGACAAGGAACATCTTTGAATATCTGTTTATTCTCTGAACTCTGCCTGGGCTGGGTTTCGTGTCCCACCTGAGTGGACGCTCCTGATGCTATGTGTTGTGACTTCAAATCTCAGGACAAGGCAGGGCTGGAGTGGCCTCGAGAGTGGAGTGGAAGATACTTATGCAGGTCCTCCCCAGGGCTCGTGCTCCTAGCATCGTCACATGGTTAGGCCCAAAATAGCAAGCTAGCCTTCAGATGCACCCACCCCAGATCAGGATCTGAGCGGGAACAGGACTGATTCCATTGTGATTCTGTCTGCCTTTGGCTCTGCTCTGAGCTCAGCTCTAAACAGAAATAAATGTACTATAAACTCCTCCCTTCTAGGCTTATCAGGTGGGGAAGCCTAAAGTGTTTGGGTCACCTTTGTGTCCTGAACGAGCTAGCAAGGAGTAGTAAATATTGAAGGGATTTGGGCCTAGTAGGTGGTGTGGTGGTTAAAGCCCTGGATTCCCACAGGGCCGACCATGGTTTGAGTCCCACACCCAGTGACTTGAAAACCATAATGGGTGGACATGCATGTGTGCACCAAATCCCAAGAGAATGGAGGAGAAGGGATTGTGGTATGGCCATCCGCCCAGGAGGTAATTTCGTGTTTTCTCTCTCTGTGTCTCTCTCTTCAGCAAGCACACATGCCCTATGGCAAAAACCTTTAAAAAATTCTATTTTAAAATGTAATTGGTCAAAACAGTGAAAATAGTAATAATGATAACAGGAATTATGGAACTGCCGGAATTTTTTTTTTCGCTTTCTTATACTCAGTCATTTCATACTTCCTGAGCTAGCGGGTGCTCCTGGACAACATGTGATTCAGAGTAGACACGTGACATGCACCTGTGGCAATGCAGGCCCTCCTTGCTTTGTCCAGCATGTGTGACCGGGAAAGTGGCCGTGCCAGATGAAACTGCGCAGTGACCTTAATAATCAGTGGGGAATTCCCCGGTGATTGCTCCATGGCCTTTACAAACTTTGGTCAAGGGCCAGCAGATGGCATAGCACTTATGTCGCTGGACTCCCACATGGTGGACCATGGTTCATGTCCAGACCGGTGGCTTGAAAATCACACTGGGCATGTGTGCGTGTGTCCCCAAGCTCTCTAGAGAAGAATAGAAGAGAAGGGATTGCTTCATGGCCATCTCCCTGGGGAGTGACTTCTCACTTTCCTTCTTAGTGTCTCTGTCTCTCCACCCCCACCATCCCCCCCAGCACACACACCCTAAGGCAAAAACCTCTTAAAAAAAAAAACTTTTGTCAAACATTAAAAATTTATATATATATATGGACATGAAAAAAGAAAAACCCCCCACCCCCCCCCCAGCACACACACCCTAAGGCAAAGACCTCTTAAAAAAAAAAACTTTTGTCAAACATTAAAAATTTATATATATATGGACATGAAAAAAAAAGAACAGTAAAACTCACATTTTTTCAGTACATGGCAATTTAAGATGTTAGAAACATTGAAGATCAAAGTATTTTCTTTCTTTGTGAAAAACTTACCGGGAATAGTTCGAACCCTGCCCGTCACCTTCCCGTGCCATACACACAGGAGCAGACACCCTGTCTGTGCCCGGGGGAATTGTCATGCTCCCTTCTGAGTTTAGGTCAGCTTCCAGCATCTACCTGAGCCTTTAGTGTCATGGAATAACCCACAGAGTTCTCTAACATGAGGCCTTTGCTGGCATCACTTCTGGGACATCATTGCCACCCTCCTGATTTATGTCACCACGTTCTTATCACTCATTTCCTTGCTGAGTATCTCGTGTGTGAATCGTGTCAACAGCCCACAGGCAGCTTCTTATAACTCTGCTTGTCTTCTACTCAGATTCCATGGTAAGCAGTTTTTTTTTCCCCCCCTGAAGAATTATTTATTTATTATTTTTTATTATTATCATTTTAAAATTTGCTATAGGGCATGCATGCTCATGAGAGAAAAAAGGGAGAGTGAAAACAAGTCACTCGGTCCGGGATTCGAACTGTGGCCGGCCACATGCAAGTCCAGAGCCTCAAACACCACGCCACATTCAGCTTTGTCACTTTTTGTTCCTTTACTGCAGTGTCATCTTTGTTGGACAGTGCCCTGTTTTGATTATCCATTGTCGTGAACTGCCACACGGGTTTATCAGTGAGCAGCAACACGCTACACAGTGTGCTGTCTGTGCGTGAACCGCGGGGCGGGTGGCACTGACCTGTCACTGACATACGGTGAACCGAATGATGTGATTGGCCACTAGTCATAAACACGCATTTGTTATTTGCATCGTGATTTGTAGACTGAGAGCTGGCCAGAAAGTACGTGCTTTCTGCCATTACTGTGATAAACAGATTTGAAGTGTGTTGTTGTGGGGTCGGTTTCATGGAAGGACTGAGAAGAACTAAAACCCCTGCATACTGGAATTGTGCAAGGCACAGTGGGGAGAGTGCTAAAGATGTGTACATTCTCGGAAGGGCTAAGAAAAGCCTGAAAACAACTTTTCTTCTTTTTTTAGTAGTTTTTGTCATAGAGTGCTTGCTCTTGCCAGAGAGAGACAGAGATAGTGAGAGGGAGAGGGAGAAATCCCCCCCTCCCGCCCCCAGGGGGATGGCCACACCGCAATCCTCTAGCAAAAAAATCTACCTGGTGTGATTATTTATTTAAGTCACCAGATCCAGGACTCGAATGTCAGTCGACCATCTGGGAGTCCAGCGACGTAACCACTACTCCATCTGCTGGCCCCAAGAGCATCATTTTTAAAGTGGTGGGCATGCTTCCAGTAGTCATACGGGGAGAGGGCAATGATTCTGTGTGACCACGAGCAATTTAGCCAAGACAGTGGCAGGGCATGAACCCCTCCGCCCCTCTCGTCGGATGCACACACCCTTCGGAAGTCACCCATCACACCGGCAGTGTTCCCTACTCCTTTGCTTTGCTCTGAGAAGAGCGCTGGGTGGCAGGACCCCACCTCCCCAGGCAGCTCAGGTGGTCACCCCGGGGAGTTGGAGAGGGGGACATTGCAGATGGCTCTGGGGCAGCAGGCAAAAGACTCACTTAGATGCGGACAAAGGCAGCAGAAGGGAGCCTGTGCGAATTTGGGGGGAGGTCAGGTGGTACTGCAGGGATTCAATTCTTTATTTAAAATAATTCTTTATTTAATTATATTTATTTTTGTTTAAAATTTACTACACATGTATGGTTTCCAGAGAGAGAGAGAGAACAAGCTGCCAGGTCTGAGATTCCAACTGTGGTTGGCCACATGGGAGTCTGGCACCTTAACTATCATGCCATCTGCTGGTCCCAGGATTTACTCTTTCAATCCTTACTGCAAATTTATAAAGTTGCTAATATTATTGTCTTTGTTTTATACATGAATCAATTGGGGATTAAAGAGGTGAGAACAAAGGTTGAAAAAAATAAAAAGACAGGGGGCCAGCAGTTAGCATAATGGCTATGTCGCTGGACTCCCACGTAGTCGACCGCGGTTCGCATCCTGGACCCAGTGGCTTAAGCTCACAGTGGGTGCGTGTGCGTGTGTGCCCAAGATTCTGAGAGGAGCCCTAGGTCCTTCCACTTTCAATGTAAAGTAGCGAGTAGTGGGAGGGAGGGAGGCTGAAGCCGTTGGAGGCCGGCCAGGGCCCCGGGGAGAGGTCACGTGGGAGCCGCACCTGCCCGCACCACAGCCGGGCTCAGCGCAGCCTGCCCCGAAGCCCCCTTGGAACTGAAACGTGTCCTGTGCCCTCCGAGTTCCTCCGGCATATGTCACCTCCCGGCATAATCCCATAAAGAAGCTTTCTGTGCGGGTCAGGTGGGCGGAGGGATTGGCCTCTCTCCTCTGTCCGGGAGGCAGAGCTGGCAGACCCGCTGGTGGTTTGCAGACTGACTTCCGCGAAGACGGCAGGTCTCCCAAGGCTTTCCCAACCGCAGCGTGGCCCCGGCCCG